CTTCCAGGCCTCTCCCAGTCAGCTCCCTGGAACACATCATCCACCGAGAGGGCGTGGGGTCTCAGGCAGAAGGCGCGGGTTGTTTGATTGTGGGTTTCAGACCCATTTTCCTGCACGATTCGGCCGGCAAGCTGGCTTTCCTTTCTGACACCCCTTGGGACGTGGTCCCTGGTAAAGTCTTGCGATTTCCCAGACCCTGCGCTGAGGTTTTTGGTCAGCACTTTTTTGTGAGGGGCAAAGGAGAAAGACATGGAGTGCTTTTTAATTTCTCTGCTGGGCTTGCCTTTTTCTGTCTTTGTGGTGAAAGACTGATGTCTGCTGAAGAAATTTCTTTTGGGACTGGAAGGAGAAGCCACGGGTGAGCTGTCAGAGGACGCGTCCAGCGAGCTGCTGGAGAAGGCTTTGGGAACCAGTGCCCTTGGGAGCACCGAACCCGGGGTCAAGTTCTTGATCTTCAGGTCCACCGGCCTCTTGGTTTTGCCTTGCACTGCAGGGAAGACCTCCTCTGGAAATGGGTCTTCAGCCTCCTCCCTTTCCAAACGAGAGCCTACCCGGGGCACGGGGAAGTCCCCTTCACTCTTTGTTAGTGTTTGGTTTGTCACCCGGCTCTCAAGGCACTCCTGGGAGGACGGCATGCTGGGCTCTGAGTACCTCCTATCGGGCTGTGCGAGGGAGCTTTTCAGCCTGGCCACGGTGCTCACAATGGGCTCTGGGCTGACCTCTTGGGCATCCTGTGGGCCCCCACTATCAAAGCCAGCAGCTGTGGCCATGGGCACCTGGGGCTGCCTGCTGGGAGAGCTGATGCCACTGCTGCTGTTGGATTCCACATCAGGATCGTTGCTGTCGTAGGCTGAGTCATTCTGCAGGGTCGACACATCTGGGGGAAGTCAAGGAGCAGTTGAACATTTGTTTGGGTTTATTTATTTATTTGTATTTGTATTTTTTTTTTTTTTTTGAGACAGAGTCTTGCTTTGTTGCCCAGGCTGGAGTGCAGTGATGTGGTCTCGGCTCACTGCAACCTCCTCCTCCTGGGTTCAAGCAATTCTCCTGCCTCAGCCTCCAGAATAGCTGGGATTACAGGCGCCCGTCACCATGCCTGGCTGTTTTTTCTATTTTTAGTAGAGAGGGGGTTTCATCATGTTAGCTAGGCTGGTTTCGAACTCCTGATCTCAGGTGATATGCTTACTTTGGCCTCACAAAGTGCTAGGATTACAGGCGTGAGCCACTACGCATGGCCATTCAGGTGCTTTTAGAAATGAACTTTGCTACAGTTTGCCCTGCTCATACCAATCAGGGTACTAGGTGATTTATTAGCAGAACTACTTAGGGGCTTGATATGACAAGAGATGTACCATATGAAAAGTTTGTTTCTTTCTGAATTTATTTTGAGATCAGAAGGAAAATAGGGAAAGGAAATGAGTAAAGGAGAGAGGAAGGAGAGAAAGAGAGGAGAGAATAAGAAAAGAGAGAACAGCATTTCACTGCAAATTTATTGACCTTAATTTTTAAAACCGCTCCTTTTACTGGACCCATTTCCATTGTAATGGAGTCATATGCCATGAAGTGGAAACAAAAGTTTCTCACCCAACTCCAGGGCTAACGGTGACTTAGTGAAATCAGCAGTGATTTGCGATGAACACTGGGAAGGGGCAAAGACTATCTGCGGTCTGAGAGGTGCTGCAGGAAAAGCCCGGAGCAGGGTTTTCATGTTTAATGGACTGGAGTCTAGTCTGACTTGGGGATTTGTGAAGGTAACTTCTACCTCATACATCAGAGATGCTTTACATGACGGGCAGCCTGGCATGAACTTTTCCCTACAATCGTAATCAAATGATAGCACATTCCATACCTGAACTGTCAGTGTGCTCCAGGGAGTCAACAGAAGTGATACTGGAATGTACTGGAATGTTCTCCCCAAATATTTCAAAGCAGTTATCAATGAGGAATTCCACCAGTGTCTTCACCTGTGAGGAAAAGTAAGCAATTTGTCAGCTTGAAGACTTTTTTTTTTTTTTTTTTTTTTTTTTTTTTTTTTTTAGGGAGGTGAGGAAGAATGGGGACACAGTGGAGTCACATGCCAAAATGAGAATTTGAGATCTTTATGTGTCTGAAAAGAGCATACAGAAATTTGGTAACAATCAGATACTTTTTATTTTTGTGAGACAGGCTCTCACTCTGTCACCAGGCTGGAGTGCAGTGGCGCGATCTCGGCTCACTGCAACCTCCACCTCCTGGGCTCAACTGATTCTCCTGCCTCCGCCTTCCGAGTAGCTGGGACTACAGGCATGTGCCACCAGGCCTGGCTAATTTTTTCTATTTTTAGTGGAGACGGGATTTTGTCATGTTGTCCAGGCTGGTCTCAAACTCCTGAGCTCAGGCAATTCACCTGCCTCGGCCTCCCAAAGTGCTGAGATTACAGACCTGAGCCACCATGCCAACAATCATATACATTAAAGTTAGATACTCCTTGGTGTTTTGAGACATGCATTTAAATTTAAGAACATACAAAAAATTAAAGTATTAATAACATTTTCATTTAAGTAAGTAGTTTCTCAGATTGATAGACGGATAGACTGTGTCGTACAAACCACAAAAACAAAAGGGCTTTTTTTATATCAGGACAGAGTGATGTAAACACTTGCAGCACTCATCTGTGTCACAGACGACAGAAGACACAGATTTATGCAGTTTCATTAGATACATGTATCTGAGGGAGTGGACCTATGACAAAAGCATTTTGCATTTTATATTTTCACTGTGATGCTGACTCAGTTGGAGACATTCAGAAGCATTTTATTGCCTGCATTTGGCAAAGAGATGCTGAGATCATAAGTTGGGGATTTCTCATCAGTAAGCAGAACAAACCTTGTTGTTCAGGTCCTTCTGGGCTTCAAATGACAGACACTGGTCATTCTCCAGGGTGAGCATGTTGGGTCCAATGCAGATGGCCAGGTTGCTGGAGTCCATCCTGTTGACCTCAGAGTTCTTGCTGATGAGGTGTAGCACATAGACCAAGTGCTTGAGCAGCAGGAGGTTGGGCCGGGGGAGCTTATCTGCAACCCTGAAATAAAGTGAAGGGATGTTAGTTTTCAAAAAGGCTAATGGTCTTCAGTGTAGCAAGCTGAGAGTTTCTGCCGAAACCAGACTTCCTTTAAAATGAGGAAGGTGCATTTTCACAAGTAATATTGTGAAATGCTCATTCAGACACTTCCAGTGGCAACTGACACAGAGTGAGGCTGGTTAACCGCAAGGTCTTGAGGAGCTAAGAAACTGGCCTTTATAATTGGGACACGAATAATTCAGCCCTTTATTATTTATACAGAGCTTAAATTATGAAGCCAATCTGCATTAAAGACCAGAATTTGCATTTATATTTAGAAAATAGTTTTGTTGAGTAATCATTTAGCCATGTAGAATTTCTTTCTGTTTCTAACACGGCTAGACTGGTTTTCTTGCCTTAAAACAAAAACAAATTATAATCACCAAATGAAGACGACACCTTTTTACAACATTCTGAGAAATCTTTATGAAGACTAAATCAGTTTCTTTCTTTTTTTTTTTTTTTGAGACGGAGTCTCTCTTTGTCGCCCAGGCTGGAGTGCAGTGTCCTGATCTCAGCTCACTGCAAGCTCCACCTCCTGGGTTTATGCCATTCTCCTGCCTCAGCCTCCCAAGTAGCTGGGACTATAGGCGCCTGCCACCTCACCCGGCTAGTTTTTTGTATGTTTTTTTTTTTTTTTTTTTTAGTAGAGACGAGGTTTCACCGTGTTAGCCAGGATGGTCTCAATCTCCTGACCTCGTGATCCACCTGTCTTGGCCTCCCAAAGTGCTGGGATTACAGGCCTGAGCCACCGCGCCCAGCCGACTAAATCAGTTTCTAAGGGCATATTCATAATAAGGCAGCACTTCAATCACAACATTGTTCCTAATGATAAGAAATTAGACTTCTTAAAGTCTCTTTTTCAAAAAATGAAGTGGTGATTCTTTTCATTTCTCAGAAGAAGGAATTGTTATAAAAATGCTTTATGTCTAGGTGGAAACTCATGGTGATAATCTTAGAATATTCATTTTGGGGCAGACATTTTAATGTCTTCACTTCTATACATATGTCATTGAAAATATTTAGCCATGTGGGACAATTATAACATATAGATAGACTTTCATAGGATGTGATAACCGTGCTGACATTTCAAAGCTTGGGTTTTAGAATTCTCTAATCACTAACAGATCACACTTTCCATTGCATATGTTATTATTTTTACTCTCACTGGAATTTGTTATTATATAGTTTTCCTTTTGGTTAATTATAAGAGGATTAAATATGCTATGAAATTTTATGAACAAAACAACCGTCCCCCACCCCATTGCCTGGCTGCATCCTGAGGGATGTTTTATGGGAGAACTGTTGCCTTGCATGACACCAGTCAATGTAGCTTAAAGATAACCCCAAACTCCTACACTTTGCTGGCAAGCCTGTGTTACAGTTTTCAGGTCTGATTTTATCTCACACTTTTTTGAACAGCTTACATTTTCAGACTTCCCTACCTCTTGGGATTTGTGAGGATTGAAATTCACTTCCTACGTTTTGAAGAAATATTTCCTTTCATTTGGCTAAAATTAAACTTCAAAAGTCCAGGGCACCCTCTGGTTTTTATTCTGGGAGTGGACAAGCAATTCCACTCAGATTCCCTAAACATCACAATTCTCGTGAAACAGGGATCATGAAGCTTTTACAAAGTTGTGTAAAGAATCAGAAGACGGAGGTGATGCGGCCTGGCAATCACTGATGACTTTGATGACTTACTGTTTCAGGGCCTCGATTCTGTCCTCCTCGTCCTGCATCTCAAGAGTGCCCATCCACTCCTCAAAGAGGTCGCTTGAAAGTAGCTTCCGGGGGATACTTCTGAGGAAGTCCTGGGGGATGAGAGCGGGCTATTGGCCTATTGGTACTGTATGATGTCCCATGTCCTCGTTTTCACCTGGTTTTCATTCCATCACAGGGTGCTCTATGCTTAGCCCATCATAGATTGTGCCCCTTCATTCCTGCATTTGATTAATCCAGGGAACCCTCTCTGCAACACCCTTGGCCTCTCTGCGACTTTCTAACATCAAGCAGAGTCAGAGGCACCATCCCCAGGTGGGTGTGTTCTGAGGGGCCACTGGATTTTGGCATGTGGATTCTGCCATGGAACAATCAAATTGCCCGTTGTTGGCAAAGTTTTGAGAGAGCAGAATACATTGCTTTCTGTTGGAATCTGAGGTCACAGAAACAGAGGTGCTTACCAAATAAATAAATAAAGGGCTTAATGAAAAAAATAAAACTCCAAGATCAGTGTACCTTGCTGTGTGGAGAGAAGAGCCTATTTCTTGCATCCTGAGAACGAGTGTGCCAGGGCCCCTTGGCAGGTTTTTTGGCGCAAGCGTGTTGAACTCACCTTAAAGACCACAGCGAGGAGGTGCACAGGGAGACTCTCCAGATCCACTGCATCCCCAGAGTTGAGCTCCTCCTTCAGCTCCTTGCGGGCTTTCTCGTTGGCTGCTCTCCTGAATATCCCTTCCGTTGAAGGGCCTTTAAGGCATAGAATAGTGAGAATGTCCTAAAGGAAACAGCAATAGGAACAGGAAAGGGTTACCCTTGGTTCGAAGATACACACTGTGCTGCTACTAATGCATGAAGATCTATGCTTAGACTGCAGAAAGAATTAAAATAATGTACATGAATAGTTTCTAACTTTACTTGTCATAAAATATCATCTCCCTAAAAGTTAGTTATATTCTCTAGTATACTGAGATAGTCTTACCAGGAATATTAATGTCAGATTTTGCTTCAGTTCAGTTGCTATCAATGGCCTTCCTCAACCCTGCTATTTTTCTAAGAGGAGGCAAATTGTGAAAGCTGTAATTTTGCACTTTCTAAAATCACTTTGGAGCTCTCTCCTTTCAAATACTTCCATATGAACATTGGATTTTGGATCACAAAGTCTATATTCTGTTTCCCCTTCAGACTTCTCAGAAGCTACAAATCTTCGGCATTCTTCACCCTGTGCAGTCAGAGAAATGGAGGGACCATAGCTCTGAGCTCATTGGCAAATACAACTAATTTCAATTTCTGGAATGGAAGCAGTCAGATATTCTTCTAACTGCGTGCGTATGTGGGAGTGCCATGTCGAAGAGTGGAAAATATGGAAGATCAGTCCCTACAAACTTCATAGGAGAATGACATTCAGATTTCCCCAGTATTTTGCATGTCCAGCTGAAAACTGAAGTAGGTTTATGAGAAAATGCATGCCTACCTGGATGGGTCTGGGGAGTGTGTCGCTGCCACCACAGATAATTGACAAGGGCTGATCAAATAGTGATGCTTTCAAGTCTGTCTCCAAAGCCCCAGAAAAATCTGATGCAGGGGACAGCCTTCTTATGAGAAAGGGCCAGGACAGCACCTTCTTTCTCTTCTTAACTTCTGCAGCCAAGAAAACAAGGCAGCGAGAAAAATTAGACTACAGTGTTAATACGCAAAGATCCAGGTAAGAAAATGGGTATCGTTGGCCACATAATGTGGTCGATAGTATATGCCATGTGAGAAAAATAATTTTGAAAACTTAAGAAAGCAAAGGGCGTGAATCTTAATCTAGAAAAACCAACCGATAAACAACCACACTGTTACCAGGGCAACCAGTTCCCTAAACAGCAACACCAGGGTTCCTCAGAGCCTCCACCTTTCCTGTTTTCACTCTTTCCAGTTGTTTGCTACAGAAAATTAGCAAAACCTAACTGTGCAGATCATAAACAACCATCTTAACCTACTGGCCTGAATAACTATAGAGGAAATTTCTGATATGAAATAGATTATTTTGATTTCCTCCTTTAATTGGCGAAGAAAACGAAACTTAAAAGGTGAGGAAGTGACTTGCTCAGTATCTCTTCGAAGGCACATAGCAGGGCCGGCTCCAACCCTTTGGAGCCTCGCAGGCACTGCATAGCCACTAGAGGGAGCTAACACCATTCTTCCTTCCGGGTGACTGGTCACCTGGGTTTTCCAGGTCGCTGCTTTAGGACAGAGGCAAATACGAATCGCGGCAGGAAGGTCTGAACCTACATCTGGCAACTGGAAATTATCAGCAAAATGTTATCAAGATATTCTGTCCTTCCGGAATCCACAAGATGTGTGTGCAATGGATATTGCAATCTCAAAAGTTTCCCTCTTTCTTTTCTTTTCCTTCCTTCCTTCTCCTTTTTTTTTTTTTAACTAATTATAAAGGCTATATTTTCTAAATGCATTGGCATATGTTTCTGTACATTTTAGATTGGCAAGTGGAAGCGTGATGAGAAAGAAGTGGCCTGTATGGTTCAGGAGAACTGGGTCAGGGTTGTGCTGTAATGAAATGCATTATGAAAAAAATTGAGAGCGAATGGTGGGTCCTTTGGGATTTGAGATCAGCAACAGTTGCTTCATAGGCTCTTGGATGCATTCTCCATAAGAGAAGGAAGAAAATGGAAAAGACGCTGTGTGTTTTCAAATGTGTGCATGCTAATTGTGGAAACATACATGGCCAGGAGACGGAACCGCATTAAAAACCCTTGGCAGAACTGGGGGATTCTCTGTGGAGAGGCTCTTTCCGCTCGCAGCACTCCCGGCTCTAGTGAGTTGGAGCACACCTGCCATTTAAGGGTTAATGTTCTGCGGTCTTTAACAGAACACTTATACAAAAAAATTCCTAGTAGAGTAAAAACGCTGTGGTTTTGCAAACCAAGAACGCTGGTTGTTAGCACTTACATAAAAGATCAGTATGTTTTCAAAACTCACCAATGAGCTGGCAAATACTGTCTTCACTCTCACATGATGCCAACAGGGGATGTTCCTTGATGTCACCCTAAAAACATTTTTATTTCAGTTAAATATAGTGACTGAAGAAACCTATCGAGTCTTTCCCCGCAAAACACACATACAACATTTTATTCATATTAAAAATGAAGTCAATAGAGTGCATTGATGTTTTTTTTCTAGCTTCTAGAGGCAATATTAAAGTCTCGATTGTCATCAGATAAGATCCTAATTAATGTGTTTAATTTACTACATGTGTGATGTTAATTTACTACTCTGATAATTAATATTCAACCCAAATAATATTCAATAAAACAAAGTTTTCCACCTTCTCACAGTACAGATAAAAAGTTTCAAAAATTGCTTTCTTACCTCTGATTGACATTCGATTAGCGTCTCCATATTACTGGCATTTAGTGTTTTTGACTAAAAGAGAAAAAATAAAATTAGGTAAATATCTTTTGGCCCTTGCCTCTAGGAAACGCGAATTAATAAATGTGAGAGTGTCACTCACAGCATTGTGGCTGCTTCTCAGCTTCATCAGTATTGGGACTGACTGTCCAGGAGTGAATTTCACTCCTGTGCGGCTGTGGCTCTGTCTACAACGAATCATATGGAAAGGAGTTAGGAGGAACACACAGTAGGTTGGCCACTTTCAGCACCACTTTGCCAAAGCACAGAGTTTGAAACTATTTATTTATTTATTTATTTTTCTATTTTACTACTTTTTCAATTGCCTTTACTTTGGAAAAAAAACTATTACATAGACAAGTTTTCATTTAAAGTCAGTTCTGTGTTACCAGATGTCATATGTTGTTAAGAACAGCATCTGAACACAATTATTTCTAAATTATTTAAGCCAACTATCTTTACCATTCTAAACGTTGTCACCAATTTATTCCATTCCCATCAAGAGATAATTTGGATATCAATTACATTAACATTTTAAATTAACATTAACATTAACTTTTTGGGGGGAGTCCTCACTACATGCCAGCTATCGTAGTAGGTGCTTTGCATGGATTTTCTCATCTAATCCAAAAAGGAAAAAAAAAATGTATCTCCAGGATGCTGCAATAGTAAACATGAAACAAAGACAACATTTATAGAATCCCTACACCAAAAAGGTGCAGCCTTCACGTTGAAGCAAAGCTTTCTTTGTCCTGAGACTTTATAAAGTGAGTGTATATTCCACGGGCTAGCTGTTTTCTGTTGCCTGTGATCTGAGTGACCTGTGACTGGCGAGGCAGCCTGCAATTTCTAGGCGTGTTAATATATAGTACTTACCCTCGGAGGGTCTCTAGCCAGAGTTCTTTTACATCCGGTGAGCTGTAAAGAATGGGAGAAAGAGCATGACACTCTGCTGCTTCTAGTCCACTGGGAGAGAGGGAGACTGAGCCGGTCTCCCTTCACATGCTCTGCATTATAAGCGAGGGGGCGGGCAGGTGGAAATTCAGAATATTACAGAGACCGGAAAGAACATCATGGGCTGTCACACAGACGAAGCCAGCCAGACACTGGAGAGCTCTCACTTCCTCATTCCTTTTAGGGCAGCTCTGTCTTTTTTTTTTCTCCTCCACTTCAAAGTAAAAAATCTGTAAACTACTAGGAGTGGAAAAGATGACATTCAGCCCATAGGTGAAGGCTCTGATTAATGTCATAGGTGGGATGTGTGAACAAGAAATTGTGTTATTCTGTGCATAAACATCACTTTATTTTCTAAAGTGGTAATTTCAAGTGCCTTTTTTTGCATCCTGTTTGGGTGCTGTTCCCCCTCCCACGTGCCATCCGCTCTGTCCACCAGCACCACACGTTGATTAGCATCCCTGGATGTGGGACACTGTTACAGAACCAGAAAGAAACCCAAGACAGTCCCTTCCTTGAGGAACAATCACCATCCAAAGCCACGTTAGTTTCCTTTGGAAGTAGGAAGAAAACTCCCTCGAGTCAGTTGTCAATACAGTAACCCCCTTCTCCTTTCTGTAACTCCTGGTCAAAAGTATTGATACTTAATTTACAGTCAGAGCAGATGTTGTTCTGACATGGAAGGAAAACAAAAATTCCTTTGATCAGACCAATTTAAAATAGGAAAGAGATGGTGAATTTCATTTGTGGATCACTCCTTCTGCATAAGAGAATTTCTGATCTTTTCTATAGATCAAGGGCAATATATGAAACCACTCAAATGCCTCAGCATGAGAATGGATGCATAAGTTGTGATCCATTCACATAGAGAATGAATGTTATATAGCACTGACAATGAACAGCCTATCACTAGAGCCAACAATATGGTTGGATCTCACAATATGACGTTGAGCCAAAGAAGCCAGACTTGAATTAATTAATGCAAAGCACAAAACTAGCAAAAGTCGTCTGTGCTGTTGGAAGCAAGAGTAGCAGTTTCCCAGAGGGGCTGGTAGTGACTTCCAGGGGCCAGCGGGGGTTTGGTGATTGTCCATTCTTGATCTGGGTGGTGCTAGGCTTATGTGCACACTTTCCTATTTATGTTAGTTTTCAATAAAAAGTTTTAAAATAACTTGGCTTCATTCATCATCAGCATCTTTCATTTTAAGACTTTTCCAGGCCGGGCGCGGTGGCTCACACCTGTAATCCCAGCACTTTGGGAGGCTGAGGTGGGCGGATCATGAGGTCAGGAGATGGAGACCATCCTGGCTAACACGGTGAAACCCCGTCTCTACTAAAAATGCAAAAAATTAGCCAGGCGTGGTGGCGGGCACCTGTAGTCCCAGCTACTTGGGAGGCTGAGGCAGGAGAATGGCGTGAACCCGGGAGGTGGAGCTTGCAGTGAGCCGAGATCGAGCCACTGCACTCCAGCCTGGGCGACTGAGCGAGACTCCGTCTCAAATAAAAAAAAAAAGACTTTTCCATATTGTCACTTCTATTGTCATTTTACTGAAAGGAGGTGATATGGGGGCAGACTTTGGGAAACTGAAGCACAGAGAGGTAGAAATTTGCTCTGTAACTCAGCGGCTCAGTGGGGACCTAGGGACAGATCCTGGTTTTCAGACTTCCAGCTGGACGCTCCCTCACTTAAAGCCACCACAGTGCCAGAGTTCACCCAGTGTTCCCAGGGCAGCTGTAGAGGCCCCCGCTCTTTCAGCATCCCTCTCCTGCCTTTATAAACCTCCAAAGTGGACTCACGGATTTTTTTAATTGAAAAAGGGCATTTACGCTGTGCCCAGCCTAGTGCCAGGTATATAGTAGGTACTAAATAAATAATGTACCTGAATGTATACATTTCCTTATAAAATAGTCAAAATAGAGTATTACTATAATATTCTATATATCATACTATATTGTGATATCTATTCATCGTTGATATGTATTTTCTAAACTTTTTTTTTCTGACAAGTGGACTTTTTAATTTTTGTAAGAAACTTAATGTACTTACTGTTCTTTCTTTCTTTCTTTTTTCGAGACGGAGTTTCGCTCTTGTCACCCAGGCTGTAGTGCAATGGCATGATCTCAGCTCACTGCAACCTCTGCCTCCCGGGTTCAAGTGATTCTCCTGTCTTAGCCTTCCAAGTAGCTGGGATTACAGGCACATGCCACCATGCTTGGCTAGTTTTTGTATTTTTAGTAGAGGTGGGGTTTCGCCATGTTGGTTGGGCTGGTCTGGAAATCCTGATCTCAGGTGATCCACCCACCTTGGCCTCCCAAAGTGCTGGGATTACAGGTGTGAGCCACTGTGCCTGGCCAAATTGTCTCTTTAAGATTGTTCTTGACGGCCTCTAGTGCTACAGGCATTGCCACTCCTGAGAAAGCCACTCCCTCATCAGGTGAAGGCTCCTGGTTATGGAAAAATGGAGCCCACCTTCCAAAAGTTTCCATCTTAAATCCCAGTTCTATCCTGGGAGATACAACTTTCAGATTCCTCTACCATTTCAGATTCATCTACCATTTCAGATTCATCTACCATTCATTCATTTCAGATTCATCTACCATTACCATTCATTCATTTCAGATTCATCTACCATTACCCCCAAAACACCAAACAATGAAATGACTTCAGTGCTGGCATCATCCCAGTGGTTCATGTTCTTTTTACAAACCATCTATCTTGGCATCTGTCACTAGCTCTGCATCTACCATTCTAAGAGTGGGGGAAGGTGAGTCTTACTGAAAACCTGCATATGCGCTAGCTATTTTTAAAGACTTTATCTCATGTAATTAGCAACACAGCACTCTGAAGTATGTCCTCCTCCCTGTTTTATAGGTGAGACAACTGGGACTCCCCGGGGTCAGTTAACTTGCCCACGGTCACTCAGCCGTGTTTAAGCCTTGGTCCTACGTTTAGATCCTAAGTCCAGAGCTCTCTGTATACTTCCACTCAGAGATAACCCTTCAAATGGATCATTTAGAAACAGAGACAAGATGTTGAGACCTCGTATATCAACTTATATCTGAATAACCCAGGTAGATTTTTATGGGGAG